GACTAAAACAGCATAGCCCTGGCTCAGATGGGTTAATTGAGTTGAATTAGTGTATCTCTGGCTGAGTCATGATAGTGTTATGCTAGAGCAGCTCTCGTAGAGCCCCAGATCATCTTGGATAGCCCAACATCCACCTATTTCAAACTTGCTCATCATGGCAGATACTGGGTCCGGATTGCTATGACAGCTAATGTTAGTTAGATTTAGTGGGATTAAACTAATCAAAAGCCAAGTATTTCATCTTTACTAGGTTCAAGAATAGTTTGCATGCATATTTAAATGTTTCTTTCTTCAGATTATGTTTGGCATCTTTTTCACCGGAAAAAAGAGCTGTTACTTAAATCAACACTAGCAGCACTGGACGACACCCAGGACAATGCCTTCTAATAACAAACTTCCAGTTTATGATAAATCAACATATTGTACTACTTTAAGAATGGAAAGTTCATGTGGGTGATCCTGCAGAGAACAAACATAGCAATTATGTAATTTTCATGAGCTTTCTGCTGGGAAAATTTATGGCAACCAAATGTATCTTGTTATTAAATTTCTTACCTCTTGTGACTTCATTGTAATGGCATGTCATTTCCATATAAGCATATATATTATAATATTTGGGGTTTTCCTTTTTGCTTTCTGGCAAAGCCCAAAATCTTTGTCAATTTTTGCTTTGATTACCTAATCTGGATTTGTATTGGAGGGAATGGACTGAGTGGGGTGGGCTTTGGATCAGAAATAGAGGAAATTACGTCAGGGGTTTTTTTCCAACTGAAATTTATTATATGCTTGCCTAAAAAAAAGTTCAAGGGAGATAATGATGCCCAAACCCCCATTTGCTCTGACAGACTGTGTTGCTTCATCCAACATTTAATACAAATAAGCAACAGTACTTATTTCCCTAGATGTTTGACTCATGCACCACTACAGTTCCAAAGGTGATTTGGTTTTAGTTCCAGACACATATTATGAAATTCCTTAAAAGGCAATAATAGAAATATCACTTTGAATGAATTAACTAAAGCGAAACTGGTGTTACATTGCAAAAATTAAAACCTGAGCATTGTTGGGAAGGTGGGAAAACCCTTCCAGAATTATTGGCAGTCAAGGGATTTTGATTGATAAAAGGAAGGTTGACCAAGATGGTTTGCTTTTCGTTGCTGAAAATATTGAAATGGGACACTGATCCTTTGTACTGATTCTAAGGTTTTATTATTATTGTCATAAATTTGATGGTTCCAGCTGCTTTGGTGTAGTGACTCATAATATTCAGTTATGATTAACAATCAAATAAAAGATTTAAAGACTGGCGTGAAAATAGGGCTTTGTGGATGATGATTATTTAACTGCTGTGATGTGTTATTTGGACACCCGTTGAACCATTTCACAAGATAACGGTGCACAATAATATCTCTGACACAAGACAGCTGTGGAAGTCCTTGTTGCTAGTTATCTGTCTTCAGGGCCGAATAAGACAATAAAGGTAAGGCAAAAGAAAAGAACCCCTGGACGGGTAAGTCCAGTCAAAAGTGACTGTGGGATGCAGCACTCATCTCGCTTTAGGCTAAGGAGCTGGTGTTTGTCGTCAGCCAGCTTTCCGGGTCATGTGGCCAACATGACTAAACCACTTCTGGTGCAACGGAACACTGTGACGGAAGCAAGAGCGCACAGAAATGCCGTTTGCCTTCCTACCACAGCGGTACCTGTTTGACTACTTGCACTGGTATGCTTTTAAGCTGCTAGGTTGGCAAAAGCTGGGACAAAGCAATGGGAGCTCACCCCGTCATGCAGATTCAAACTGCCAACCTTCTGATCGGCAAGCCCAAGAAGCTTGGCAGTTTAGACCACAGTGCCGCCTGCATCCCTAAGACAATACATAGCATGCAGCTGTGTATCTTGCTATTCCTTAACTAATTACAGGCATGGGGAACCTAATAGTTACAGGGAAGGCAGCATATAGGCAGTGAAGACTTGTCTTTTCACTCCTTCACCATGACCAGAATAGAGATCGCTGTCACCGCCAAGTGTGGCAAAGAGCCGAAAGACCCCCTTTGGCACCATTGGAAACTCCCCCCACCCTGCCCGATTCCCAGCTGTGTGGGCGTTGCTCTTGGACCTGGGGAATTTTTAATTACACTTGGATGAAGTTGCTCACTTTCTGACACCTGGGTATGCCCATTTATGTGACATAATTCTCAAATGGCCTCATCACCCCTTGCTGGCAATAGACGTCAATATGAGAAATTGAACTTGAACAGGAAACAGACAAGTACAAAATAAACTTGGCTGTAGACATAATTTCATGAAATGTGATTAAGCTTTCCTGTAGCTGGGATTAATACTTGTGTACCTGCAAAGTTAGTAACATGGAACATAATAAGAGAGGGAGAGAGGGAGAGAGAATAAACCTAGAGTCCAAATATGACACATTTCTCTGCAGATGAGATATATGAACTCTTAACACTAAGTATGAGCTTGGGGATTCACATGTATTTACTGGGATTTTTATAGCAATTATAAAGACAAATAATGATTGAGAAAAAGAAAGGGAACTAAAAGAAACACTTCTAAAATGTCCCCATCTATGGAGCCAGAAGGATTTAAGTCAAGAAGATATTATAAAATAGTCCGAGTTTACAGTCAGTTATCATTGATTTAAAGCTTTGAATAATGCTTCTTTATCTGTGTTTCTCTTGGCTTTATCAACAAGCCTTCCCATGAAGTTGCTACATCTTTCCAGTGAAAGGATGCAAATAAATGGACGCTTGGTTTTATCCATGGTGGGTTTGCCCCAAAGTTCAGATTTTTTGTTGAATGGTCTTCGTTTCAGACATCATATCCAGCACTGACTCTTCTTTCCACCCCATTTATGAAAAAGTGGTCAGTGCTGCAAGAAGACTGGTTACTTACCTCTTGCTATGTGGCCAGAATGGAGGTTGCATGAGAATGGAACATACAACCAGACTTTACCCCCTGAAGATGGGTGGCAAGGAGAGTTCAGCAATTAGCTGTGGACTCAATAAAAGACTGACAGCACATAGATACTTGGATGCCACTCAAATGGATGTCAGTAAGGGTTCCCTCAGAAATGTTCTACCAACCACTCACAAGACATTTTGGAGTAGGGATATATAGTCTGATTCTTGGTACCAGTTCTAATAATGTTATTACAAAAATATATATGCATCAGACTCACATGTTAACACTCACAAAATACAAGCCCATTTTTGTTACATTAATAAATATCATAGATCCACATTAAGACATAAGGCAATGACTGCGCTTCTGTGTGCATTTGGCTAAGTCACAGGGGCAAAAAAGTGAGAGAAAGATTAACAATAAAACAATGAATGTTAACCAGGGCGTTTTTTTCAGCCAGAGCTCAACTCCAGCACCTCTCAAGTGGGTGCCATTGCTATTCTAATAGGACAAGGGAGAAGTTCACGGTTGCCTCCAGCACCTCTTTTTCTAGAAAAATAGCACTGATGTTAACAATGTTTAATAGCTAAGATAATCACCACAACAGTGAATCAATAAGACAGGAGTTAAAGTAAGTACACATTTCAGGAGTATCCAGTTAGCAGACAATTAAGATCAAACGTTGATGATGACAGTGGTTGACTAAATTGTCATTGCATTAAAAAATAAAACAAAAATAGCATTGGGGAAATCTGCAGAAAGTTACTGAAAGTGAGACCACTTCACGAAGAGAGGGAACACCAGGGCAATGTGTTTGTGCAGTGTATGTTTAATTAATTAAGCATGAATCCTTTTTCAAACGGGACCCAATGGGTCTAATAAACTACTGCTGCTAATAAAAAAAAAAAATGTCCTGACTGAAAATAGCATGAGTCTCACTTCCCAGAAAAGCAATGACAATGGCATGCGTATGAAGGCGGGCTGGACTCATTCTTTTGGTCCACTGGTTACAGGATATTGTTTAAGGCTAAGCTTTATTCTGGAAATACAGATACACTGTGGTTTTTACAAGTACAGCAGCTTACACATAGTATTACAGTTATTTATGATGTCACTCTGCAAGTTAGCAATTCTGATTCTACTATTTTCCAGGACACATGCTCAACTGGTTTTCAGAAACCAGCAAAATGTCGTATTTCTGGGGAAGTCTCTGTAAATTTCTTCCTGCACAACTCCTTGGATGAGGTTGCATGTGGCTTATTTATGATGATGATGATGATGATGATGATGATAAGTTGTTAGTTGCTTTATTTTGCCCAGGGCAACCCAAAGTGATTGATAACCAATCAAATCAAACAGACAATAAACCCAATAAATGGGACTTCCGGTCGGCGCCATCGGCTAATGGCGGATTTCCCTCCGAGCTCCGGAGGGGGTCTGCTTTACAAGTTCGGGTCCTGTCGCTACGGCGAAGCGGGGACCCTTAAAAATTACAGGCGCGGAAGCCTGTGAACAAGGAGGCTCGGTGGGCACCATCGCGCCCCCCGGAAATCGCAAGGGAGCCTTTTTAAAGGCTCCGGAACGGCAGCGGGGGGAGAAGCGGTGCTGAGAGCCGCTACCCAGCTTGTGAAGCGAAGCCGCATCGCCATAGCCGGAGAGCGCCGATTCCTTCCTGAAAATTGGATTACAAAGCAAAACTCGTGAGTAAGACTGAGACCTAATTGGGATTTACAACTATCTTTTTGAAATTTGGCTGAAAACGGGATTGGTTTAAAGTAAGGAAGTCAGCCTTTCCCGGACTGCATAAGGATAAAGCAAAGAAGGATTAAAAGCTGTAACCATTGAGAGATCGCAAAGAGTTAAGAGAACCAGACATAAACTGTGAACTTCCCCCCTTTTGGTAGGCAGGAGCAAAAGGGGGAGGAAACTGTGATTAGAACCTGCCAGAAAAGGACTTTAAAAACTTTTCACCACTGTGTCAAACACCCCTGAAACGGACTGCCGGGGCAAAGGAACCTGGAGAGAGAGAACTGTCAGTGAACTGTCACTTGGATTGTTACATTGTTTTAAACTACTCAGCTCAGGAGAGATACTAAATTACAGGTTTGTTGAACTCTGAAAATATAAGAACTGTTACAATTGACTACTGGGAAACCTCAGGGGAATTTTTGGCTGTAAGACATTTTGTTTAGTTTTGGAAACTTTCTTCCCCTAGAGGGCACTTTGAGAATTGTTGCAAATTGGATTGTAACTACTAAGGCAGTGGAAATTTCCCTTGAAAAACAACTAACAGCTGTGAGAGTGACCTTGGCTAGGCATGAGTGGTGCACCAGAAGAGACAACAACCAGGTCTGGGAGACAATACAAAGTAAAATCTTCACAGCGAAGAGTTTCAGTCCCAGGCATCCCAGTGGCACCAGCTGCAACTGGTCAGACAAGAACAATAATGTCATCAGATCCTGTAACACAAGCTTTGGTTAAAATAAATGAGTCTTTGGAATCTTTGACAAAGCAGGGGGTGGAAAATAGCAGAAAATTGACAGAACTCTCAATTAAACTTGATCAGAATACACAAAGTGTGAATGAATTAGGGAAAAGGGTGACATCTAATACAGAATCTATTAATAAAATATTAGAGGACTCTGCCAATATACGTAAAATCGCAGAAGAAGCCAAAGTCTCTGCTGATGAGGCTAAAGTCTCGGCGGATGCTACACAGGAAAAAAATTGTACCAGTTTGCAAAAAGTTAGAAGATCACACATTGGCCCTGTCTATGCTTGAATTGCAGAGAAGAGACAGAAATTTAAGACTACGAGCGGTGCCTGAAAGCGAAGGAGATAACTTGGCGAACTTCCTTTCCAAAGAATTTGCGGATTTTTGGCAACAGGAGTTAGAGAAAGAAGAAATTAAAATAGTCACTGCCTTTAGACTGGGAAGAGCACAAGGTAGGAAGAAGCCAAGGGATTGCCTAATAACATTAGGATCAAGAGAGGAGAGAGATAAAATATTGAGCCTGCATTTTCAAAGAACACTCGAGATTGAAGATTCTTTTGTGGAGATTTTTAAAGATATTCCAAAGGAAATTCTAGACGCAAGAACAAACTATAAAGAACTGGTCGGATTGCTGAAGAAGAACGAAGTACCTTTCAGGTGGGAATTCCCGCAAGGCCTATCTTTTAAATTCAAAGGTAGGAAAATAAGGATAAGATCAGTAGAAGATCGAGATCAATTTCTAAATCACTATAGGGAAGACCTTCTGAAAGGAACAGTCGGAGAGGAAATAACACCAGAATCGAAAGACGCAACAGACATTTTAAACTTGACGTTTGGACTGAAATCACCAACAGAAGAAGAACAACTACTCGGAGCAACAGGAGGCAAATAGCTTCAGGATGGCCTTGCAACTTCTAAGTTGGAATTGTAACGGACTTAACCTTCCGCGAAAGAGGAAAAATATATTTCATTTATTGAAAAAGAGCAGTTGGACTTAATTTGTTTACAGGAAACTCATATAACAAGATTGCATAGGAAACTACTCGTCAATAAGAGATTAGGCCAAGAATTTATTTCATCGGATAAAGTTAAGAAAAGAGGAGTGGTAATCTATGCAAAAGAAAAACTTTCCCCAAAGTTTATATTTAAAGATGAACAAGGAAGGTATTTGGCAATTGAAGTGCAAATTCAAGGTGAAAAATTTTTGATACTAGGGATTTATGCACCTAATGAAGGGAAGTCAGAATTTTTAAGAAGTTGCATGAGACATTGTTGGACTATTTGGATTACAAATTAATCATGATGGGAGACATGAATGGAGTGGTATCTACAAATATGGACAAAGCACAAAGACAGGTAATCACCAGAGATGGGAGACTACCAAAGACTTTCTTTGAAATAACTGAAAATATGGACTTGATTGATATTTGGAGAACAAGGAATCCTCTCGAGAGAGAGGGAACCTTTTCTCTGAAGCAATGATGACCTGGACCAGAATCGATCAAATTTGGATTACTAGTGGGTTGGCTCCAAAGATTAAAAAAGTGGAAATCTGCCCAAAGACCTGCTCCGACCATAACGCCGTGAAGATGGAAATGAAACTTACAACAACTGGTCAATTCAGATGGAGGATGAATGACACCCTGTTTCGAGATGAGGAGATCCACAGAAAGGCCCAAAAATTTTAAAGGACTACTTTGAAATAAATCTAAAAACTGATGTAGAAAAAAGAGTGATCTGGGACGCAAGTAAAGCAGTGATGCGAGGATTTCTAATTCAACAAAATTCTGTAAAAAAGAGAAAGCAAAATGAGAAGAAGGACAAGATCTTGGAAAAGATAAAAGAAGGAGAGAAGAAATTGAGATCAAAACCAAAGTCCCAGGAGATTTTGAGAGAGATTAAGTTATATCAGACACAATACATGGAATTGATGAATCAAGAGATTGAATGGAAGATAAAACAAATGAGACAAAAGACATTTGAATCTGCAGATAAATGTGGTAAACTTCTGGCTTGGCAATTGAAGAAAAGGCAGAAACTAAACACAGTTACAAGCCTAGAAGTGGATGGAAAGAATATATCTAAACCTAATGAGATAAGAAATTGTTTTTGAGTTATTTTAAAAATTATATTCACAAGGACCACAGAAGGAGGAGGATATAGAAGAATTTCTTAAAAAGTATGGACTACAAAAATCTCTCACCAAAGTAAGGTGGATCTAAATCAGAGAATAACAGATCAAGAGATAGAGGGTGCCATTCAAAACATGCAACTGGGCAAATCTCCAGGACCAGATGGATTGACTTCCAGATATTATAAGGCTTTGAAGGAATGGTTGGTACAACCATTAAAGGAAGTCTGTAATGAGATCTTAGAGGGGAAAAGGGCACCAGAATCGTGGAAAGAAGCGTACATTACACTCATACCAAAGACAGAGATTGAAAAGAATCAACTTAAGAACTACCGCCCAATATCATTACTTAATGTGGATTACAAAATTTTTGCAGACATTTTGGCAAAAAGATTGAAAAGAGTGTTGATGGAGAAGATTCATAAGGACCAAGCAGGCTTTCTCCCTAAAAGGCATTTATCAGACAATGTGAGGAACATAATAGACATTTTGGAATTATTAGAGGTGAATATAAACACTAAAGCAGTTCTGATCTTTGTAGATGCGGAGAAAGCCTTTGACAATATTTCTTGGAGTTTTATGAAAAAGAATCTTCATGGGATGGGGGTAGGCCAAGGATTCGAGAATGGTATGGGTGCCATATACACTGAACAAAAAGCTAAATTGATTGTAAATAATGTGATAACTGAAGAATTTAAAATAGAAAAAGGGACACGACAGGGGTGCCCTATCTCCCCATTACTTTTTATTTCTGTTCTGGAGGTGTTGCTAAATATGATTAGAGATGACCAGCAGGTTAAAGGTGTACAGGTCGGAGCTAAACATTACAAGTTAAGGGCCTTTGCAGATGATTTAGTACTTACTTTACAAGAGCCAGACACTAGTACAAAAAGGGTGTTGGAGCTAATCCAAGAATTTGGCCAGGTAGCTGGATTTAAATTGAATAAACAAAAGACTAAAGTCTTGGAAAAAAATTTAACAGTCATGGAAAGGGAGAAGTTTCAGAATGAAACAGGTTTGACAGTGGTAAAGAAGGTGAAATACCTAGGGGTCTATTTGACATCTAAAAATTTGAACCTGTATAAAGACAATTATGAAAAATGTTGGTCGGAAATTAAAAAAGATCTAGAAATATGGTCAAATTTGAAATTGTCAATGTTAGGCCGAATTGCAGTTATTAAGATGAATGTATTGCCCAGAATGTTATTCTTGTTCCAAACATTACAAATTCTAGACAAGATAGACTGTTTTAAGAGGTGGCAGAAGGATATTTCGAAATTTGTCTGGCAGGGCAAAAACCCAGAATAAAATTTAAAATACTGACGGATGCAAAAGAAAGAGGGGGTTTGCCCTGCCGGACTTAAAACTGTATTATGAAGCAGCAACTTTTTGCTGGCTGAAAGAATGGATGCTCCTCGAGAATACAGACATCTTGGACTTAGAAGGTTTTAACAATACATTTGGTTGGCATGCATATTTATGGTATGATAAAATCAAGGTGCATAGGGCCTTTAAAAATCATATTGTCAGGAAAGCATTATATAATGTTTGGATAAGATATAAAGATTTGGTGGAAAGTAAGACTCCTAGATGGTTGTCACCTTTGGAAGCCACGGCGTTGAAAAAGCTTAATATGGAAGCCGAATGGCTAAAGTATCGGGAAATTTTGGAACAAGATGGAGATAAGTTGAAGCTACAGAGCTATGAGAAATTGAAACCCAAAGTACGAGATTGGCTCCATTATTATCAAATAATGGAGGTGTATAAACAAGACAGGAAAATTGGCTTCCAGGTGGAGAAATCAAAATTAGAAACTGAACTGTTAGAACCCAATACTAAGAACTTGTCAAGAATGTATAATTTGCTGCTGAAATGGAATACACAAGATGAAACAGTTAAATCAGCTATGATTAAGTGGGCACAGGACATTGGTCATAACATTATGTTTGCTGACTGGGAATGGTTGTGGAACACCGGTATAAAATTTACGGCATGTAATGCCATAAAGGAAAATATTATGAAAATGATCTATAGGTGGTACATGACTCCAGTCAAGCTAGCAAAAATTTATCATTTGCCTGATAATAAGTGTTGGAAGTGTAAAGAAACTGAAGGTACTTTTTATCACCTTTGGTGGACGTGCCCAAAGATTAAGGCTTTCTGGGAAATGATATATAATGAATTAAAAAAGGTACTTAAATGTACTTTCCTGAAGAAACCAGAGGCCTTTCTCTTGGGCATTGCCGGCCAATTGGTATCAAAGAAAGACAGAACTTTTTTTATGTATGCTACGACAGCAGCAAGAATACTCATCGCAAAGTATTGGAAGACAGAAGAACTACCCACCTTGGAAGAGTGGCAGATGAAGGTTATAGACTATATGACATTGGCGGAGATGACTGGCAGAATCCGTGAGCAGGGGAAAGAGACGGTGGAAGAAGATTGGAAGAAATTTAAAATCTATCTAAAGAACTATCATAAAATTGAGGAATGTTAAAATGTCGAGGTTTGGAGAAAGAAAAGGAGATTACAGCGACATAAGATTAAGTTGAAGAAAAAAAAATAAGAAAAATATATTTGATAAAATTATTTAGAATTTGCTGAAATAATTTTGGGAATTGGGATGTAGGAAGGGGAGGTTTGGGGAGTCCGAGAAGAGAGGGTTATGAAAAAAAGGTTATGAAATTATACATGTTTGTATGTCTTTTTATTTGTTTGTATTGTATAAAACTTGTTT